TGTCAGTGGGAATGCCACCGACTCTACTTCTGAATAATAAAATTCTAAGTTTGAGTTGAAAGGTGGAAATGAACGGTAGAATTTCGAGAGTGCTAAAGAGGGGTGCTGCTGATGCTGTGTGAGAATTATGTGTGATGTGTGATAATTCGGACTGCTCTTTTGTGAAGGTGAATGAGAGATGTTAGGTGTGTGGCGTAGGTATTGGCCCAGGATGAAATGCAGTAGGTTAGGTGACTGTTAATAAAAGCATAGTAAAGTGATTTTAAATTTGTTGCTGAAAACAATGCCTTGTGCAAATGAGTATGCGGATGCCAAAAGCAGTCTTCTTGATGACAGAATTCACGTGAATGTTATATTTGAGTTGAGGGTCTAATGTGACACCTAGAAAAGTAGTGAACTTTGATGGGGTGATGACGCAGTTATCAATGTATATTTCAGGTGAAATCGTAACGCCTTTTTGGGACGAGTGAAATAACATAAAAGTTGTTTTAACAGGGTTGATTTTCAATAAGTTATTTTTGCACCATGAAACAAGTTTCGCGACATCAGTGTTTAATTTTGCTAGATTGTTAAGATCTTTGTCACTAGAAAATATCGTGGTATCGTCAGCATAAAATATGCAGTCAGATGAGTTAAGTGATGATGGTAAGTCGTTAATGTAGATAAGAAACATGAGAGGTCCATTCCAATTGAAATTACAAGCCCTCAGTTTAAAAATTCATCGTGTATGTATCTCACTGTCCAGTCCAAAAGCCACAGAAATCAGATTAGCCAAACAGGATGAGCGTATGAGGCAAGAGGAACACGGTGCACTTAATTGTGGTGGAACTGTACACTTTGTTCCAACAATTGATGAGGGTCTTTAGTCATTTTCATTTAAAAACTGCTTATTGCTTTCAATTTAAAATTTTCAACGAGGTTCAGGGCGCCGCTTAATTCGTATTAGCGACAAGACACCAACACAACCATAAAGTACAGCTGGTGCAAACTGAGAAAAAATACCAAGACAGCCATCGCAGGGGCGGAGCGACAACTGCGTAAACAACCGCAGCCCACAGCGGCGAGAGGCGAGAGTGCAGGCTTGGAGGAGCGGAAACCGGTACCGGAAAACGGGCTTTCGGCTCGCCTCGACGCAAAGCGTCGCTGCGGTCACCGCTCACCTCAACTCGTCCGTGCGAGTTCATATAAACTCGGGCGCGTCGAGGTAAGCTGAACCCGCCACTCAACTCAGCCCGCCCCCGTCGCATCCATGTACACGGGCCTTTGGTCCTTTAGCCTTCGCCTCGCTGATAAAATAAATTGTGCGCTGCGGTGATGTAGCCACAGGTGCAAGATGGCACGCCGGACTCGTCTTCACCCTCCGGAAATTATTTTCATCCTCTGCTGCGGGATGCAGAGCAGAAAAAGGCGCTCAGCCAAACTCTCCTGCCCGGTCCCCGTTTAGATCAAGGATGCGCACGTGCCCCACCATAGAGCGAGAAAGAGAATTTATTGGAAAATAGGCTTGGTGTGAGCTTGTGCGAGCTGGCTTGCTACTATGCAGGGAGAAAAAGGGGGGGGGGGAGGGGAAACGGTGGTACTAGAGTGATGAAGATAATTTCTGCATACGCCACTGGTCCGCGGGTAGAGACCAGTCCAGGCTTTTTTAGCAGCCTATAACATGCTTCCACAACTTGTCATCCACACATGAGCAAAATTGGACTAGCTGCTGTCCAACAGTGCAGCGTGCTCGGTGATGTCAATAAATAAAACCGTTTCGGCTTCAAGAGCTTCATTTGGGTGAGTTGGTCCATCCTGGTTGTATTATCTGCCCCCTACATTGAGTGGAGGGGGGCACTGCGACGAACATTCGCTTCCTCCTTTCCTGACGGGGGACCCTATGCACACCCCCAACCCAATAAAAATTTCTGGCTGCGGCCGGCTGATCCAACGGTACACATTGAAAGGTGCAGCACGAGAGTACCGCGCTACGGAATAAGCACTAGTTTGTTTTCTTCAATATCCGAACTATGCCGGAACAAACGTACAAAGACTGTAGCGGTGCCGCCACTGGATGCACATTTATTTGCACATTGAGTATCAATCCGAACTGGGTGTCAACCTAGTGAAGGTAGCCTTTTAGATTTTGCTTTGACCTTATAGGCCAAACGGGTGAAATCAATCACGGGCTGTGACTGATCTTAGTATGTCGCGACGATTTCGTTGTCGCGTAGAGGTCTTACTTAAATCCAAGTTCAGCCCGCGTTCGACGTCGTCGCGTGCGTCGAAACTTAAACGAAGTGTTTAGTTTCGATTTAAGTGTACTTGAGGTGGTTGTCGAAATAATTAACCGCTTAACGGTTTTCGCCGTACATGTACGGCAGCACCTAGCATGGACCAAATGGTTTTCACCGTACATGTACAGCACTGCCACTATGTTTAAAACGCGGGTCTGCTTCGACGTGCCGCCACACTTCGGAAATACGTGGAATTTTTTTAATGTACTGATGTTCATCAGTTCTTTTTTTCTTTTCGAAAAGCGGTGATTCTCTTGCGCCACAGAGCGCTTGGTTAGGCTAATTAAAGCGCACGCCTTTTTCGATGATTTTTCTTGATGGCATGTGCTGCCATGCTTCGGGAAACATGTTTTTTAATGCGCCGATGCCTCTACGTTGTTATTTCATTTTATACTTCGCAAGGTAGCGCTACGGAAGTCGCTTGCGCATTCGAACGCGCGCGCGCAGTGCGGTTGGTTTCGGTTTCGTCCTTCGGGTGGTTACCGCTTCCCACGCCCGCAAGGCTGATCGCTGTCTGGTTTCCAATCTCTCAAAGGGACCACTTGTGATTATCTTGTTTATTTCTCCCCGAAGCGAAATTATGTTTCCGTGCGGCGCTAAATTACGCAGACGCCGCCGACGTGGTTGCGTTTTATGTTTTGGGGCTCGGGAAAACTAACTCCGTCTTGTTGGTGACAAGACGCCTTCTCACCCATTTTGCTGCCTGGAAGGACACACAACCATACAGATTTCTTTCGTGCCCTCAATCGCGAAGATCACTTGTGCCCTAAAAGCGCGCGCCGAGGGTTCATTCTTACGATGCTGACTATTCCCCAAGTGCAAAATCTGATTCCTTGGATTTCAGCTCATCAGATGAACTTTTACTTAAAGTTCAGACTCAGATAATCATGAAGGAGCGACATCTCTTAAGTGTGTGCGGCGATGCGATTAGGATCGGATCATGGCCGGGTGACTATTACCCAGCGTTTAGTGTTAAAGCAAAAACATTTTTCACTGAAAAACTGCCCAAGTGCGCTTATTTTTGTACGTCTTTGAGCTATGTTTATTATAATGCATAATACTTTTAAGCGTGAATACACTTTATAAGCGACCCCAAACCATCCACCGCCGTCGGCGGCGTTCGCAGTCTTCTCTCTATCTTTAAAAGAAAGAGGACTTGGCGGGCCGCAGCGCGACGCTCTATCGAATAAGCCACGGACGCAACGCTGATATCGGTGTCGCTTCTCCGCTCTCCTCGCTCGCTGCAGCTGCGCGCGCACCCCTCTCTCTCGCGCGCCCGCCTTCTCTCTCAGTCTCCCGTCGAGAGCGGGTCGTGCGATGGATGTCCCGGAGGCAACGGTACCATCTGGATATAAGGCGCGTTACTGACACCGATATATATATATATATATATATATATATATATATATATATATATATATATATATATATATATATATATATATATATATATATATATAGAGAGAGAGAGAGAGAGAGAGAGAGAAGACTGCGGACGCCGCCGACGGCAGTGGATGGTTTGGGGTCGCTGATAAAGTGTATTCACACTTTATATATATATATATATATATACTGGTTTCTTATACAAATCGTAAAAATGTCAGTGTTCAGGATTTCGCTTGATGTTGCTATAAATAAACTGTGTATGTAAAAACAAAAAATATCTTTTTTTACTTTACAGTCCCGAAAAAATAGCCATTTTTTTTAAATAGAATGGTCTGAAGGATTTATTTCAGCCATAAAAAAGTTACATATTTCAACATGAATTTCCCTAAAACAGTCTACCCTGAAAGGGTTAAGAGAGCTATAAGGCTAACCATTCAACGAACATTTTATTCTTTATTTCTTGCCAATAAGGTATAAATAGATAGTTTTCATAGTTTCGCAGTAGAATTTTGACTGTCGAAGTGAAAACGGCTGTCCAACGTTTTTTTAACATTTCGAGCTGACACTTGTTTGATGTCAGATTTAAAGTTTTGTGTCATGCTAGCCCAATAAATGTTCTTCAGGCTGGTCATGTTTACTCTACATGTTGCTTCATAAGCTTGCACAAATAAGGCCGGGGGGTGCTCCCTCGGCCTCCGATCATCGAATTGGGGGCGTTAAGTGAGTCACATTTAAACCTTTCTCGTCATTGTTCAAATTGCAAGATTTTATGCAGTGTTTTGCGATAATGGGACGAACCAAAGAGATGCCGTAGTGAGCACCATGTCATTCATTTTTGCATCCATAGGTTGCTTTCTTTCCGACTCGTACAATTGAAAGATGGGAAGTGGAGGGGGCGTCTTAATTTCTGTTATACAACCCTGCATGCATCTATGAATGCATTTTTAGTGTTCAGAACACACTGTCGCTCCATGCCCAAGCAGACGCCTCTTAAGTACACGGCGCATCACTACAAGTTGGCGCGGGAACTTGCAAATTTCAATGCAACAAAGCCGCACGTCAAATGTCATTAACATTTTATTAAAGCAGCAAATGAATGTTTTAGCAGTTTACACAAAATAGGTATCCCCAACATTTCGCACTTGCGCAAACCACAACAGTTTCATGTTTGCAGGGAAACGCTAGGACAACGGTCTCTTGCACCACCTTACTCGGTTGTGAAATGTAAAATAATAATAACAATAAAAAAGTTCCACGGACTGTATGATCGTTCACCCGCAAGGCGGATCTCGCCGGCGACTGAAACGCGCGAGCAACGATCTTGCAAACAAGTGGCCGTCACTCGAACTCTACGTTGAGGTACAGGGCCCCCTTATCCACAAAGCCTTGAAGTTTGATGGTTTCCCACTTTATCGCCGTCGTCCACTGTCCCCAGTTCCAGGAATCTGACCGCGGTCTCTGCACCATATTGCATTTGGACTTCGGGTTCAGCGGTAGGCGGATGCTCTTCGCGGCGTCCCTGAGATGCATCACGATCAGGGTCACCTTCTTGCTGAAGGGCCACTCCACGTAACTGTCCCATTCACCGTCCCGCAAGTGAAAAATAAAGCGCACATAACCAGCTGTGGGCCTCTTCTTTGAGAACTCGCAGTCGAGTCGGAACGTGTAACCGCCCAACATGTACGTGTCGCTTGCTATCCTGCGTGTCTTGTTGTCTCTGTTCAGAGAGTCATACGCGGCGTCGACGTCACTGAACTTGCAGGTAGTGATCAGGACACCGGCTGCCGAAGCGGCGCAAAACGGCCCCAGTATTGTCGGCGCAGACTTTCGCTTCTTCGAATCTGTTGGATCACCCAAGTCTTGTAGTTCTTGCCGAACCTTGCGCAACTCGCGTTCGAGGCTAGCTACTCGCTCCGGCAAGGACCTGACGTCAGTGGGTTCTGTGCTACAGCTATGAGATCCAACCGCCGCCCTCACCTCTGTCTCACCAGGACATGTCCGCATCTGGTCCCTGAGTGAGTCCCGAGCGATGGGTCGGTGGCATTTGTAGCACCTGACTTTGCCGCCGCCGCACTGGGTCAAGTGGTTTCTCAGCTCATATAACGTTCCGGCGAAGCCGCAGCCACTGTTGGCGTCACTGGCGGCTGCGCAATAGACGCGACGCTGCTCGAGATCGGAAAGCTTGAAAATGAGCGGTTCAACTGAGGTGCGCGCTTCGAGCTTTGCGCCGTCCGCGGGACAACGATCGAAGCTCTCTATGTGCGAGTAACAGTGATCGCACAAGCCGTGACCGCACCGAAGTACCTGGATGCGGGAAGGCACGAGACCACAGATGACGCAGACGCGTATGGCCGCCATCGGCTGGGCGAACGAGACACTACGCAGTTCGAGGAATTCGCCGAACCCGGTCAGCGTGTATCTGTAGCCTTCCATGTTTGTCCAGCAGGAATTAGCCGTCCGAGAAAAGTAGATGCGAGTGCTGACTAACGCAGGCTCTCGAAAACACAACACAATTTCCCCGCAAACTTCACGTTTCCACGCGCGCGTTCAACGAGGTCGACGAGACAAAAGAGTGAGCACTATACGTAACCGTCGACGCAATGCCTATCCCTACACCAGAGGTCAGGATCGAACCGAATGACGTGTACCACTGTTTGATATTGCCTCCAAGATTTCCACCAGTAGCCTAACTTCATGAATAGAAAAATCATTCAACAAATAATCAATCAAAATTGTGCCGCAAACAATATAATTGCAATAGAGGTCTGGTTTTATTTAATTAAACTAATCAATTAAAAATGTTTGAATAATTATTCACAAATTCCCCCAACCCAACAGCTCGAGCGCAATATTGTGCTATATGTCACGCGCATCTTTTTTTTTTTTCACAACCACGGTGTAAGAAAATTACTTTTTTTTCCTTACACCTTGCTCGCAACGCGTTTTTGTACAATAGCGGCAAGAGAATAGTGATGCCGGAACCGAAAGGGGCCGTTCACTATAAAGGCAGAAATGGACTCGTCCGCTGCTGACCGCGGTCTCATGCGTACGCGTACGCCCTCCCAAGTTTTCCAACCCGCGCACGAAGCGGCCTTACCCGGGAGGGAGAAATGGTACTGCCCGCTTCTCTGCGAATCAAACAGCTTTACCCTCTGTCGCTCTCGTCGCCGCCTTTTTTCCTTTGTTTGCGTGTTAACCATTAACGAAGTGGATGTGTTAGAGTGCTACATTACGTTTTAATTGTACTTCAGCGTGTAAACTCTTATGTTTGTCAATTCGTATGGCCATGCAATAGACCGGGAAGCGCGAAGTGGACCTTGCCCTCAAAAGATGCGGAGACGAAGACTGACAAGTGCGATAAATGTGGTAAGCAGTGTTACAAGCCATGACGGAAGCTTTGAGGTATCACCCGCTGTGCGCCAACTTTATCGTTGTGTGAAATAATCGTGCTGCAGGTGATCTTAACGGCGATGGCATGGAGACTCCATTCCTGCTGAACGCATGTATCGCATCTTCTGGTAAGCGTCCATATTTCGAAATTCAGCAAACAGCCAGCCAGGTATGTGTAAGTTTTTAAACGAATTACGCGACTTTTAAATTACGCGAGGCATTCCACTGTTTTTCTTCTAATTTACCGCGTGTAGTACATGTTCACTGGTGGCAGGGGATGTTTACCGAGTACGGCATTCGCAGAGCGCATAGCCCGAACGTCGAAACATTCGAAGTCTTGTAGGGGTGTTCGAATAATCGAAAATTTCGAATAATGAATCGAATGGCGTTGTGTTCGATTCGGCGCTTTACCAAATTTTTTTTTGCATAATTAACACTGACGGGAAGACACCAAAGGCACACCCATTGGAATAATGACGTACATTAAAAAAAGTAGCAGCTGAAGCTTTTACAATCGAAGCTTTACTCACCAACTGAAACGTCATGCGAACGTCCTAAACAGCATCAAACGACGTGAAATGACGAATGCAGCGTTCTGTACGGTGTGGATTGAGTGAGAGAGAGAGAAAAGGCTTTATTGGACACAATGGGCCGGCAATTTGGTCTCGGTGGCTTTAGGTGGTGGCTCGCAGTCCCTGGACACGGGTGGCATCCTCAGCCTGCCGGACGGCCCAGAGTTGGTCGTTCAGCTCTGGGCTTTGGAGGGCCGCCTCCCAGCGGCGGCGTCGCCGACGAAGAAGGTCGCCCGCGGCTGCCGCAGCCGGTCCGGCGGCAGGAACGAGTGAGCTCGAGACTCCCTGTGATTTGGTATTGACGGCCGCTATAGGCGCATCGCGATTGGTGGCGTTTTCACGACTGTCGTCGCCGGCACATTCCCAGAGCATGTGGCTTAGCGTTGCTCTGTGCCCGCATGCTTTACATATATCGGTGGGGTATATATTCGGGTAGAGGTGGCGTAGAACGACCGGGCTAGGGTAGAAATGGGTTTGGAGTAAGTGAAAGCTTACGGCATCTCGACTGTTTAATTTCTCGTGCGGTGGCGGGAACCTACCTTTCGAGCCTGTGTGTTGGGTGATGTCACGGAGCGTTGTAAGACGATCACCCCATGACCATTCTGAATGTTGTTGCTGCGTGCCTATCAAAGTGCCTTGATCCAGCAGATGCATCGCCCCGCTCTCGGAGTCAGAGGCGGCGGCCACATAGTAAGCCGTGGCTCGGCGAGTGAGACCTCGAGCCGCGGCGTGGGCCGCCTCGTTCCCCGCGAGCGGAACGCTGGTGTGTGTCGGGGTCCATAGGAGGAAAACCGTGGGAATTTGGGGTTGTGAGCACGACGTCGAGTCGCCATCTCCACACATTTGAAGGATGCGCACCGCTTCCCGCGAGACACGGCTGCGCGCGAAACTGCGGACTGCCGCCTGCGAGTCGCTTATCCCAATCTCTGCGTGCGGCGAGTGCTAAGGCTATCGCGGCTGCTTCGGCCGCCTCCCTGTGTCCCGTCGTCACCGTGGCGCTCGCGAGGCATTTGCCCTGATGGTCAACGACCACATTTGCGTGGGCTCTTCTCCCTTCTCCATATCTCGCGGCGTCTACTTATACCATGTCCGTACTCTTACCAAACTTCTTTTGAAGCTGTCTAGCACGCTCGTTACGCCGTCCGATGTGGTGCGTCGGGTGCATATTCCTAGGAATCGGCGGAACGATCAAGCGGTCGCGGACTGAGGTAGGGACCTCCACCTTTTCTCCTTGCTGAGCGTGATATCTGATGCCCAGCGACTCAAGGATGTGTCGACCCGTCTTTGATTTGGTTAAGCGTTTGTATTGCGCAACGTCATGGGCCTCAATTAACTCGTCGAGTGAGTTGTGAAGTCCGAGCTCTAGAAATCTTTCGGTACTCGCGTTGATCGGGAGGCCGATAGCTCTCTTGAAAGCCTTTCGGATCATGCAGTTGATTTTGTTTTTTTTCTGAGCCTATCCACTTGAGGTAAGGGGCAACGTATGTTATTCGGCTTATCGCGTAGGCCTGCACGAGACGGATCACGCAGCGTTCGCGCAGACCGTTACGTCTATTCGTGATTCGACGCAAAAGTTTGATCGCGTCGTCTACTGAACGACGGAGTCGGCGCACAGTCTCACCATTATGGCCATTTGCCTGTATGTGTAAACACAGAATTCGAATTTTGTCTACGTGTGGTATGGGAGTGCCGTCTGCCAACAGAACACGTATTTTGAAGAATTCCCTTTCCTCGCCACGTGAAGTTTTGCGGCCTCTGCTTGTAGGATTGTAGATTAAAAGTTCGGACTTGGTTGCTGAGCACTCTAGGCCCGTTCCTTGCAAGTATTCCTGAATTTTGTCTACTCCCGCCTGTAGCATTCTCTCGACGTGACCGTCGCAACCTCCTCCGGGAACGCATGAGTGAGTGAAACAACTTTATTTAGGATCGGGCATAAAGGGGGAAGGGGTAGGGGAATTGCAGCGAGGCACTGGCGTTCTCGAACGCCCTGTTGCGCGTCGTGGCGACCGCAGTCTGCGGGTAGCGGGGCCGGTCGCCGTCGCTCCGTCGAGCCAAGGACTAGGGGAGAGCTTTGAGCAAACTTAACGGATTTATTTACATCTTTACAGTCAGTTGTCGAGATGAAGATAGAAGAGAAGAGAGTTGGGTGAGGCGCTGCACACCCTTTTTGTTGACCCCCGTTCCCTAGGTCCCTAGGTTGGGGATCACTACACAAAACAATGCGGACCAATGGTGATGTGGAAGTTCCTCTCAGTGAAGTACCGCCCGTCATGTATGTTCATAGAGGCACAACACTGGCTTGCACATACACACACACCCTTGCCACTAGTCGCAGCACTGCCGTAGAACAGGGAGGGGGAGAGCGGAAGACGCACGGGCGCCTGTCACACCGGTCCCGTTAATTAGGGAGGCGATCGCCGGGCTAATTCCAAGAGCCGAAGTATCGGCCCCCCGAACCGCACCACGAAAGCGTGGACAATTTAGAAGTGGTCCTTTTTGGCGCGCCAGCGGACGCCGGCTGTGGCCCAAAGAACAAGTCGGAGCAGAGAGTTGATAAACAAACAAATTATATTCTCAATAATGGCAGATCGAAAACAATACATAAAAATGCACACTCCACAATAGTTGCATTCAATATGTCACCAATCAAACCAATCGATCAACGTACTACACAATACAATCAGCCACACTGGAAACAACGGACACGGACAACAATACGCACTACAATGCAGTCGCATGCATTGAACAACCAAGACACTTAAAGACTAAAGAGTTAGAAAACCTATTCAGTCCAAAGTCCTTGGGACAAAAGTCTGAATGATACTCTTCCGAGAATCACTCACTCAAAGTCCAGCGTTGTTGTCGTTCCGAAGCCCTCGAAGTTTCTCTTCCACGAAACCTCCCGTCTTCAATTGGCCACTCTTCAAACTTCAACTTCTTCGCCGGAACACGTCGGCTTCACACCCGCAGCTGTTGCCACGGGTCTTCGCTCGATAGCGGTAAACACACGCTCTTGCCTGTAGCCCGAGCCTTCACCCCTCAGGTGGAAATCCTCTTCATCTCCGGCTTCGTCCCTACGGACCAAAACCTTCGCCGACTACACGGCGGAATCCCTACGCGCTCTGGCGTTAACTTCCGTCTCCTCCTGATCTCTCATCTCGGCTGCTCGGTTAAATACCTTGCGCGCGGCATTCCAGGCGCTTCTCGTCATTTCGTCGGCGCGATACGCAGCGAAAGCTGGGAAGAGGGCGAGACGGTTGGAATGCCCTCCCCGGCCGATGAGTCAACTCGGTATGACCACGCCCCTTTCGTTCTGGAAAAATCGAGTGCTTGCTCGGCCGCCGTTGTGGGGTGAGGAGGCTCGTCGTGAAGCCACGCTTCTGCGGGGAGAGCGCGCGCCCGGGGAGCCTTGGACGTTTGCTTTCTTTTTTTTTTCTTTTGACCTCGCGGCGTTTCTCCCGCCCGTTATCG